CCGCCGCGCGCATGTGCCACCCATACCAATTCCACCAAAGGCCCCAATGCGACCCTCCGCATGCGTCACCCACACCCATGTCGTCACACCCCTCACACGTTTCGTTGCCCCATAGAGAGCTGGAGGCCATAATGCCACCGCCCGCGTGCGTCACCCACACCCATGTCGGCACACCCCTCACGCGTTTTGTGGTCCAATACGGAGCTCCAGTGAAGGTGTCAATGCCGCTGCCCGCATGCGTCACCCGCACTCATGTCGTCACACCACCTACATGTTTCGTGGTCCCACCTCCGAAGGCCCGAGTGCCACCGCCCGTATGCGTCACCCACACCCATTTCCGCTCACCCTTTACATGCGTCGTGGTCCCATAAGGAGTTCCACCGAAGGTCCTAGTGTTACCGCCCGCATGCGCCACCCAGACCAATTTCGTCACACGCCTCACACGTTTCGTGGCCCAACATAAAGAACTCTAACGAAGGCCCTTGGTCCCACCGCGCGCATGCGCAGAATGGGTACATGTCTCACGCGTTCTGTGTCCCCATACGAAGTGCGCGAGGGGTGTGCCCATCCTGCGATGTGCGGCTCCATTAGGAGCTCCATTGAAGGCCCAAATGCCGCCCACATACGCCGTTGGATCACCGGATCATCCGGATCACCGGATCAGCTTAGCCACAATCGCCGAATTAGTTGCCCTTAACACCAATTCACCGGATCACCGGATCCATTGGCCCGATCACTAAATCAGCCGGATTTGCCAAATCAGCAAGATCACCAAATCAATTGTCCACAGCACCCCCGGGTCACCAGATCATCAGGTCACCGGATCAGCGGGCTGGATCAGCGGCTCACCGTCGCGTGCGGTCTGCGATTCAATTTGAAATGTCTCGTGCGGTGCAGTGTGGTGATTGGCCGCGCGGTTTGTGATCCAGCGCGCGCAGCTGGTGTTTGTGATTCGGGGAGCGTTGTATGTGATTCAATGTTTGGTTTATGATATGGAACCCCCGCGTACATTTTGGGGAACGGCTAGTTCGTTATTGAATATGTTATTGTGTATATATGACACATTCGGCTGACCATATTGCCGCAATGATGTCAATGCATTGCATCTTCTGTATTATTGATATTATCGATACGCCCTGTTTCTAACACGGTCGAATTTGCAAATAAGCGCATGTGGGTTTATGTAATTGCCACGACGAATCAGCATTGAGGCATAGGCATTTGTTTCGCAAGATGTTCGGTTATCAAAGTTTGTAGATTCGAATCTATTTTGTTCCATCACACGCACTACCAATTGTACATTAATTCATTAGTGCCGATTGTTTCCCTCATGTCAAGATATTCGGTGCATCGTTCCCCGGAAGACTTGAGCAATGATTTGGAATGTACGTTATTGAAGAATTGTTGATCGATCTTCCTCGTGTAAATACATTGCTGCTGAGAAATTCCAAATTCTTTACGCTTCGCGTATCCCCACCAGCCATCTCACAACAGCAACTCTTGCGAAGCATGCCGACAATCGTGTTCTTCAGGCGTGTGTCCGCTTGGTCCCGCATATCTCCCTTGTTACTCCTTCCTCCCGCCTGCTTGTACATCCTCCTTGCGGGGGGAGCAGGAAAAGGACGAGGCGGAGGAGGAGGGAGAGAAAGCGCTC